CACACACAGACACACACACACACACACACACACACACACATAGTGTTACACTTACATAGTGTTACACACACACACACACACACACACACAGTGTTACACGCACACAGAGTCACACACACACACACACACACACACACACACACTCACGTGTCCCAGTCTCTGTAGGGTCGAGGGACGCAGGATGTTTTCTCAGTTCTCCCCGCAGCGCTGACGCTTCTCTACAGGAAGGTTTGAGCAGAAACCTCTGATGAATCTGTGAGTCTGAGAGGTTTGGTTCAGATCTTCTCCAGAATAAAAACCTTTACCTGACTGAGGTTTGAGCACCGCACCGGCGGCACGTTTGCAGCTTCACGGAGTATGGGCCGTTGCTTCAGCTCCGCTTCTCTCAGTCTCATGCTGCTCTCCCACAGCTGTGGAACATGACACGGATATCAGCACATATCATCATTACATATCCAGTTGAGTAACGGAAACTTCAAACTAAAAACTAAAAACTAAAAATCACATAATATTAAAAACTATTTTCAGAGAATATATCTCAAATACAAAGGTATTTTTCAATTGTTTTAAACATAAACCTCATTAAAATTTGATTAAAACAAATGAAAAATACCCCGTTTAAAAAGCACAAAATACACTTCCATTCAGCTGAAAACACTGTAATAGAGAACAGTCGTGTGAACTCAGTAGTGTATTATAGGAAGCAGAACTGAACTGAGATCTGCTTTGAGTGAACGCAGTGTAAGACGTGTTTCTGCAGAGGATCAGAAGAAGTCTAGAAGCTGCTCTGTGATGCTTCACCTGCAGGTCTTCAGAGATGCTCCTCCACTCCTCTGCGGAGAAGCTGGCAGCGGTGGCGGCTCGATTCTCCTTCCTCAGGACTCGAGACTCTGGGTCCAGCTGCTCTATGTGTTCCTCACAGAACTCGATCAGCTGAGGGTAGAAACCGTCCTGACCGGACCTGAGGAGCAGCAGCACACGTGAGTGGAGCTCTGACACACAGATGAGCAGACACACAGACGGGTCTCCTCTCACCGCAGCACTCTCAGGATCTGCTCCAGGTGTTTGAGGTCCGAGCAGCTCTGGATGAAGCTGTAGTCCAGATGCTCCACAGGAACCGACCAGCTGCTCGAACCCGGAGCCTCCAGAGCAGACGTAGCTTCAGCAGCACTCATGACTCCTGACACACACACACACACACACACAGTGTTACACACACACACACACACACACACACACACACACTGTCACACACACACACACACACACACACACACACACTGTCACACACACACACACACACACACACACACACACTGTCACACACACACACACACACACACACACACACACTGTCACACACACACACACACACACACACACACACACTGTCACACACACACACACACACACACACACACACACTGTCACACACACACACACACACACACACACACACACTGTCACACACACACACACACACACACACACACACACTGTCACACACACACACACACACACACACACACACACTGTCACACACACACACACACACACACACACACACACTGTCACACACACACACACACACACACACACACACACTGTCACACACACACACACACACACACACACACACACTGTCACACACACACACACACACACACACACACACACTGTCACACACACACACACACACACACACACACACACTGTCACACACACACACACACACACACACACACACACTGTCACACACACACACACACACACACACACACACACTGTCACACACACACACACACACACACACACACACACTGTCACACACACACACACACACACACACACACACACTGTCACACACACACACACACACACACACACACACACTGTCACACACACACACACACACACACACACACACACTGTCACACACACACACACACACACACACACACACACTGTCACACACACACACACACACACACACACACACACTGTCACACACACACACACACACACACACACACACACTGTCACACACACACACACACACACACACACACACACTGTCACACACACACACACACACACACACACACACACTGTCACACACACACACACACACACACACACACACACTGTCACACACACACACACACACACACACACACACACTGTCACACACACACACACACACACACACACACACACTGTCACACACACACACACACACACACACACACACACTGTCACACACACACACACACACACACACACACACACTGTCACACACACACACACACACACACACACACACACTGTCACACACACACACACACACACACACACACACACTGTCACACACACACACACACACACACACACACACACTGTCACACACACACACACACACACACACACACACACTGTCACACACACACACACACACACACACACACACACTGTCACACACACACACACACACACACACACACACACTGTCACACACACACACACACACACACACACACACACTGTCACACACACACACACACACACACACACACACACTGTCACACACACACACACACACACACACACACACACTGTCACACACACACACACACACACACACACACACACTGTCACACACACACACACACACACACACACACACACTGTCACACACACACACACACACACACACACACACACTGTCACACACACACACACACACACACACACACACACTGTCACACACACACACACACACACACACACACACACACACATAAACATCTCCGGAGTCTCTGAAACTCACCAAATATCCAGCAGCACACAGAAGAGTAACGTTCATCGAGTAATTATTGATTATTATTAAGCGTCTGTCCGCGCGCCACGCGTCCGGTTCCCATGGCAACACAAGCACGCGGGGCGGGGCGGGGCGGGGCTTAGCGGTGGTCTAGCCAATCACTTCAGATCAGTTTGTGTTCAATATAATCTTACATGTATAACTCCTGTGTGATCTTTAATGTGTTTCTTTAATTATGCCAGGTACAATTACAAAACTAATGAAGGGATTCATATTTGATATGAGTATATATTCAATTATATATATGTAGATGTCAGCTCAAACACATGAAGCGAGCTGTAGTCTCATCAGACAGACACACACACTAATAGCAGCGAGGTTGATATGAAAGTTTATTTATTTGAAATGTGAAGGAGTGAAATTATAGAATTATATATTTAGTTTGAAGAAAAAAACAGCTCTGATTTTGACGTTTATTTCTAAAATTCCCGAAATGCATGATAAACCTTAATTGTTCCGAGATATGTTAATTTTGTGTTGAATGTTTTGTATGTTTGGAAAAATGATGCCGAGTCTCTTTAAATCCGCGTCCAATCAGCGACATGGGCTCGAAATTTGAACGGTGGAGCCTCCCCCCCCCTCCCGCCCCGCTCTCTCTCTCTCTCTCTCTCTCTCTCGCGCTCAGCGGCAGCGGCATGGAGCTCTGATCAAACACGAGTGAGTAACGAACTCTTTCATTCGCCATAGTGGTTTAAAAAGTTTAAAAGGTATTTGTCGTTAAATGTGTCACATGTGAAGCAGCTCTTCGTGTGTGTGTGTGTGTGTGTGTGTGTGTGTGTGTGAGAGAGAGAGAGAGAGAGAGAGAGAGTGTGTGTGTGTGTGTATGTAAGTGTGTGTGTGTGAGAGAGAGAGAGAGAGTGTGTGTGTGTGTGTATGTAACACTGTGTGTGTGTGTGTGAGAGAGAGTGAGTGTGTGTATGTGTGTAACACTGTGTGTGTGTAACAGTGTGTGTGTGTGTGTGTGTGTGTGTGTGTAACACTGTGTGTGTGTGGGTGGGGGT